AAAAGAACACATGCAGCCATTTTTTTGCTGATAATCTACGTAAATTTGCGGGTAATCTTCACGTTTGCCTGCAAGTTAATCTTGCTCGCACGCATTTTTGTCTGAGAACTGCTCCCTCGAAACCACTCCAGCAAATTTCAAGAATGAGTCACGTGAAAGCGTATCATGTGTAGTTGAGGTGAACCGGGTGTAATATTAATTTAAAATAAACTATTAGCTTTGACCCAATAAATGTTTATTGGCGAGAAATCTGCTTATCCAATCCTCATTTACAATATTCCAGGCAAGTGGTGTATGCCTCTTTTCAAAATCATACTAGTACCCATATGGCCACACGTAACAGTGCTGTGAGTCGTGGTGGCTCATCGATTAGCACGAAGGTCAATGAAACCCGTCCAGCACAGAGATATCGCACAATTACTGTGGTGTAATGTTGATGTTGTATTACTGTAGTTATTCCCAATTCTATTTTTTGACAGTTAATAGTGCAGTTATGTGAGTAGTGCAGTGATGTGAGTGAATAGTAATGTAATATTTATATTATCGTGATTAAACAGTACTATAGTTTAGTAGGTCATGTTAATATTGTAATAACGGTGAGAGTGTAAAGATCTAATTTGTGTAGTTAGAGCTAAACATTTGTAGTATAACTAGTATATATTATCGAGGTAGTGCAGTAATAATATTAATCATGTTAATTGCTACTGGGGTAGTAAGTATAGAGACACTTTGAGTGATGGTACAACTTATTTATTTATTATGTCATTTTGTCAGTCAATGTAGTGATACTAATTGTATTGTTAATAATGGTAGTGCTGTAATATTAGCAGTGTAGCGAAGCTATTGGTACTGATAATTGATTGCAAGACAGTGGTGCACTGATGTCCCTGGTGTTACTGGTGGTTGTTAATGGTGGAGTTAACAGTGCCGTGTGTCGTCACTCGTACAGTGATGTCATCACCTGGAGCGAATCACTGCAATCGTAAAAACTTTTTTTCCTTCTCAATCACGCACGCTTACAAAGCACTACTGTACATTATACACTCCCATGAAGGGATCGAACAAACGCAGTGTATTGTAGAGACGGTGGCTTCTGTAGGCGTGGGATTCAGGCAAACACACATGCATGGGAGTCGCCATTTTGTTGAGGCCCAACATTTCTGGGTTGTGTCTCTCTCACCTTGTTCCCGTCTCACTGGGTCTCTCTCCAGTCATTAGAAGGGATTTAGAAAATGACACCACTTTTAAATTAATCCCGTCATATACATTATACGAGTCTTTATATATAGTAATGATAATGAAATATTTGTAAGGTTAACGTGAGTGGTGAATGATAGCTGAATCAGTCCTGGGCCCTTCACACACCAACGCACACTAACCACAGGAGTGAAGTATGGCCAAACCCCGACACAGCGAGCGGAACTTAATCCAGCATTGGATTGGCAGAGGACTGGAAATGTAATTGTAAACGAATACACTAATACCCTGTATTTTAAAAGGGAAAGCCTTACCAAGTCTCAAGTTTCTGGAGTGAAAACTTCCATTTTATTCGACTAGAGGAGAGTCCTACATTAGATTTTTTTTTACCAATTCTACATACGAGTATATTGTGCCTGGGACAAAACTGGGGAACCTGGAGAAAAACTCGTACACAACAGGAGATGATAATGCCAAAAGCTCAAAACATATGTATTCAAGAGTCTGCTTGCATTGCCATATCTTGGCCACCTTGCAACCATGAAGTTTCACACACCTCTGCGTGGTCCACCAACCCTTACCTCCAGTTCTACATTTTTAATTTTACATTTTTATGAACGATGCAAGGTTGACTCGGAGTATTGGTGTAAGGCACCAGCACTATATCACGAGGCACCAGCACTATATCACCTCCAGTTCTACATTTTTAATTTTACATTTTTATGAACGATGCAAGGTTGACTCGGAGTATTGGTGTAAGGCACCAGCACTATATCACGAGGTATGCCGATCTATAATCATGTTTTATTGTACCCCTATATTGCGATGATTTGATGAACAGGTTGAAATTTCATTATATACAAAACAAGGCGAGATGATGTGGTGTGTGCCAAACAAATCCTGAAACAACATTCAAAACTGTTCCGGCTGAAGTTGAAGAACTGCTTACCTCCAATGCATTGAGTCACAGCATTGCACAGGTTTGCACCACCGCTTTCTAGTCTTGCGTAAGGTATTTTGTTTTATTAAAAGAGGTGTAAAGATCGTGTTTATATTACGACTATGGGATTTCCAAATGAGATTTAAAAAAATGAGATGGGTGTGAGTTAAGACTTGATTTCCCAACACGTTTTGCTTGAACAGTCAGTTTCTTCGATTAAAAGCGTTCAAGTTGAATGTGTATTTTTGTCTTCGTGTTTGTCTCTGTGGCTCCCTGTCTCTCTGTATCACTATCTCTTCATGGCCTTCTGTTTGTCTTCATGTCTGTTTGCCCAACTCTCTCTGTATCTGTGCCTGTAAACTTGTCTCTATTTCACACCGTTTTTCTGTCTTTGACTCTCTCCCTCTTTGAATGTTACAAGAACTATTACACTACTAATAATATAGTAATAGCAACAACTATAATAACATAAATTTTGAATTAAAAGCTTTCGTGACTGCAGGGATTCATATTCTTGGTTCTTTCGGTAAAGTCACGTAGAAGGGAAACAATAAAATAATAAAAATATAAAACAATAAAATTCTCACGCCGTTTCGACTGCAACACAAACAATCATCATCAGGTGTGAAAACCACAGCAAGAAAATTTGAAAAAAGTGGCGGTTTTTTTAACGTTAGCACCACGGAGAGCGATTTGGCAGTTATTCAGATGGACGAGTCCATCTATGTTCGGAAAAGAGGTGGGGGGAGACGAAAATAATGGATGCGGTCTGAAAGCCACCGTAAGCGTGAACAATCAATTAAGATCCGAAATGGTTTATCAAATCCTTCCAATGATTGCTAAGCCAGAATCCATCTTCTCGGTTGAAATTGTCTCTGCGTTTGTATATGTGGATAGCCTGATGAACGAATCTCTTATGGTAGCCAGATGGCTTGCAAAGAACCTCTGTCTTGGAGAAGTCAATGTCATGTGAGCCTACTGAATTATAACAGTGATCTGCCACGGCCGAGGTGTTGGTCCTACCGTGTTTTAGGTCTGCTCTATGTATCACTATTATTTTATTGTTTCCCTTCTACGTGACTTTACCGAAAGAACCAAGAATATAATAACATAGTTCAAAGGTTTTTTTATTCATATGTTTAGCCAGTTATTAAGTATGGCAGGAACACCATGAACTCACAAATACATATAATGTACATATAGTCTGAAATCTGGAACATTCTTAACTGAAAAGTAATGTTTCCTGAGATATGTGCTTGCGATAGATATCCGTATATAGTTCCTCCGCTATTTTCATGGTACTGTCTTTACCATTGGTTATGGTTCCATCTTTCTCTCCAAGGGCTAGTCTTTGCGATTTACCAATCATCAACTTCCCTATCTCTGTTTTTATGCTCATTTCTTTTTTTTGGCATGACAAAAAAAACAGAGTTCCCCCCAAAAACTAAATTACATCATTATTGAAGCACAGAGCAGCTGTTAGATACAAACAAGTGGCCCTATTTACTAAAGCGTGCACATAAATTAGACATTTTTATCGTCTCAATCGTTCCATTAAAAAAACTGAGACAAAACTGACTTCCAAAAATGTACAGATCCATAAGCCTTCTATTATACGTATACATGTTCATGGAGAGCATAGAGAGCCAAATAACACGAATTAGAGGAAAATCAACCACTTGAGCAAGCTGGATTTAGAACAAAAATGTAGTTGTTTTACCACCATTCACCACATACATTCCATCATATAAAATAAAATATATCAAATACCATAATACCTGCATTTTTTAGACTATGAAAACGAAGATGATTCATGGAAACTGGTGTAGTCATACTCTTTGGTTATTTTGGTCAAGTCACGTATGTAGAAAAGGAAAATAAATAATATACACTGCTGGTTCAGCAGTTCCACTGCTGGATTATTTTTGAGTTGCGATCAAAACGTGGTGATCTATTTTATTTTTGTGTTTTATTTTTTCTACCTACGTGACTTTACCGAAGAACCAAGAGGATGGATTCCTGCAGTCAGGAAAGCTTCAAATCAAGATTGATTAAGTCATCCAGGCTCTCATACGAGGCTTTAAAGTTACCAATATGAATAATGATAACTATTTACAAAAATGGAAGTTATACTACTTCTGCATGTAGAAAATGTAATATAACACAGATGAGTCAGGCAAGGAGATATGCTCCCAACAAGGTTAATGACAGTGACACTTATAATATATTTTCTGAAATTTGTAGATGAGAAATGAAGGCGTATATATACACATGGAGAAAGTATAAACAATCTTAGATGTTACGTCTGATAGTTGTTACCATGTCCAATGGAAATTAATTATAAGAAATAACTGAAAAACTTAGCAAAGAAGGTTGCAACATTGGGCCAAAGATAAATATATGAAAAGTAATGTATAACAATTTTGTTGAACAAACCAAAATGTATTGTAGGGACATCATTGGAAGACACAACTGAGTATGTATATCTAAGAAAAATAGTAAAGGTGGACCATGATCAAAAATATGTAGTACAGATGTGAACAAGACAAGGTCAGAGTGATTTTGTAAAATGTTACTTGATAATAAAAAAAATACTAATGTGCCCAACGATGACAGTTTTCAATGGGCGCACATTACACGTACGATGACAATTTTCAGAAACATGGATACTGACAAAATGGAAAAACTGAAAAGTACACACAGAAGAATGGAGAGACGCTTACTGGCAATTACACCAAAAGAGGGATGTCATATTGGCTGTAGATAAAAGCGAACTTGGGCAGGACACAACAACACGTCACCATAAGGGACAATGGCTGGTGGTCGACTCATGGTGGAGTGGCAACAAAACCAAGGAACACACCTGAGGGGATGTCACCTGCGGAGACGGAGTGAGGGGATCAGCTCGTCAGCATGGTGGGTTATGGCATCGCAAGACCATGTGGAGCGGCATCGACTTGTGGAGGCCTACATACAACAGTGGATTGAACATGGCTATTGGTGTATGTATGTTGAACTTGTTTCGCACCGTACGTAGCCAACCACGCTAATTGGAGGTGCGGGGGAAGGGCAACAAACTAAACACAAAAAGCAGTTCTAAAGAAGCGAGTTTTCAATCTAGATTTAAAAGTGCACAGCTCCAGTGGCGATTTTGATAGTGCAACAGATTAGCTCAGCACAATCCACCAATCACATGACCTTAAAGACTCTGGTGTATGAATGTGTACCCACGCCACCGCCACGTCCAGAAAGACTGTGGTACAGGTGGGTGCTTCTGATGTTTCACGAGCGTGTCATCACAGAAGCCGCTTGGGAGGATGCCACTGCGCGTCATTCGCCTACCCTAAATATTCACCTCCTGTCCCAGGCCACCGTGACACTCTGGCAGTGCTCAGCATTTCATTGCCACACCTCTCACCTGGGCTATGTTATCGCCTTTGGGCGGGACTACCTAACTGCCCTGCTGAAATGCCAGCAGATTTCTGGGAGGCTCAACAGGCAAATTATACGGTGAGCTGGTAGTCCCTCCCACAAGCATCCCACCTCCCCCACCACACCCAACGACAACAGCCGCCGCCGTTTGCCACGAAGGGCGGCGATTACACCGCAGCGCTTATGCCAGGCTAGGTGCGCTTTGAGGTCACGTGAAGTGGCGAAGGCTCGCTGGCAGGTCACGGGACAGACCCAGGATCCATGGTTTGACTGACGGAGATGACTGGCAGATGCACCACCTGTGCTCTCTACCTGTGCCCCACCACTACAGGAACCAGACTCATTGTGACGTTAGCACAGCCGAATGCTCATAGGGGTCCACCCACTCCTTGAACAATCCCGCCCACGAAGTAGGTAGGCAGGAGTCGAACATGAGGCCAAAAGCAGATGTAATCCAGGACAAAATCCCACATTTCACCATAGCGGTGACAGCCTCTCTGAAAACCGGGACGGTTTGTGGTCGCTTCTTGGTGCGAGTGGGCACGGCAATGATCAATCCACCGGTAGCCAAATCCGGGAGAGGAGGCGCCGTTCGGTAACGATGCCGGTCCAGCCGCGACTGTTCGCCAATGCGGACGTTAGGTGGCGGTGTTCAGCCTACTTCGCGGCAAGATAACAATGGTCGAGAACAGTCGGTAGGGGGCCAAGTTTGCGAATTGTCTGCCAACTTTTTGTCTGCCACATCGCGCGCCAAGATGAAAATCGGAACCATAAAGCGCAGAGGGTAATAATTCGTATACAAATACAACAGAATTGAACGCAGCCGTACATGTACATACATATGCATACATACACATACCAGCAATGCGCACACCACACACATACGAAGATCCCCCGTGTAGCCTACACATGCTGTTGGGGCAAGTGTTGTTAGCGAGCAAATATACAATATTAGCGCGGGATAGGTAAAGTCGTAGTTTGGCCAGCACCACGCCATACCCCAGTGCTGATGGTTGAATCACTCGCCACTGATGTTATCAGAATCAAAATATTTAATGCTGGAGGAATCCGATGAGCTATAAAGCTCTTGTTCACAGATGTCCAGTAGGGGCAGGATTGAATTCGAGCGGCCAACTGCTAACGCACAGATATACACGCACATATTAAAAAAATTGCAAGTCAAATTCATCACAAATATAGTCCAGAGAATCAACGCTAACCAGTGCGCCACCACTCCCACAAAATACACAAAAACATACCCCACTACCAGACCACATATACACACACACACAACTTAATATACAGTCACTCATAGTGTACAATCACACCAATTCACAGTCACACAAGAGACGCGTACACACACGCGTTTAATAACAATGGAGCTCATCAGCTGATTTCATTCACAACGCTCGGGCGCAACGCTTCCTTGTCTGATGAGCGTGCTGCCAGTTAACCATTGGCCACATAGCCATGCATATATAATCATAGTAAGTATTTAATGTATTTATGTTGAAAAGCCTCATTCTCACGACTAATCTTCGGGAGGGCCCTACAATTGTAATACGTTGGCCAATTTTTTTTCCAATCGTGGTTTGCGCGTGGAAGGACATTTGATTAACCAGTGAAATGCTGTTCGAACGAAGGGATAACGCTAACAAAAATCCACACGGACGGGTTCACGAACGCCCATTGTTGTGCTGCCGGCTGCTCTCCACCTCGTAGCCCATCGACCTTCAAGAGTCACATTACTCGATTACAGTAATCCATTCTACTGCTTGATGGGTGAACTACCGTCCGCCGTGGTAACGTTGGATTCCCACAGTTGGCTCGGGGTCGATGAGCGAGGGGAAAATGTCAGCGCCGTCTTTGCTCTGGCGTCTCGTAGTAGTCCCTTGCTCGTGTAAGCCGAGACTCGGGAGACACGTGTGGGCCACGTCTCCATACAGGCCATTTCCCCCCATTGCAGTGTCGTCATCGCCCCTGATCAAATCGCCCGCCAGATTTCGTCAAGATCTCAAAAGCTAAGCAGGGTTTTTGAGCCTGGTGAGTGTTTGGATGGGCGGCCCCACCGTGCATTAAGCCTCAGGTGCTGTAGGCTGTTGCGGAGCTACGTGGTCAGCAGCAGAGTACAGTGCAGCAATATCCACTGTACTATGATCCGTCTATACTCTCTTTTTGAATAATAGAGGTTTATGGGCTAGATCACGTAAATGTGTCGTTAGAACCGCCACCACCCGACACAGGCAATTAGTAAGGGTTGTCACGTCAATACATGCCAATTAGTTACTCGTTCAGCACACCGGTGTGTTGGAGAGTAAACCCACATTTACAGTTCGACGTGTCGCCAGTAATTCCAACCAGCCTCATCACTGAAAATCCATTATGAAGTATGGTCAAATAGCTGGCAGGAATCGTACGCCGAGGGAAGGCCCTCCTCATCCAGCAGTGGATTCATGCTGGCATCGGGCACGTGTTAAATGTCAAAAAAAAGTTGCGAACAATGTAACATATGCCAGGGCATGAGCGTCTCCATTAACTTTTACGAAAGTTACTCCCTGTCCTTTATTTAACCACGTACGTTCGAACCATCGCATGTTGTTGGCTTTGTGGCTGATTGGACCTAAATGTGGAGATGTTGTTCGCTCCGCTAGTCTCTTGGGACCCAGGCTGGACTCCCTATGGAGAGGGATTACCACGTGGCGAGATTATAATATTGCGAATGCTGTAATGTCATAATGCGCGAGCCATTAGTATCGTTACACACAACAAAACAAAAACTACCATCAAGGCGCTCGACCTCCTGGGATTTCCGAAGATAACCAGTTTTGAGCCTGGTTAATATGTCTATGAAGGACTGACTTGCATGTGGATGCCAGGTGCTCTCTAGACGTGGGGGCAGTGAGGTGTGGCCAGGAGATGGCAGTTAATTGCGAGCATTGTGAAACCCTGCGCCGTGGAAATCCCATATTCCCGTGGTGGTAACCAGTCCATGTGACATCCAATACTCATGGCCTGTGTTCATCCAAGTAAACATCGCCAAGTTTGAAGACTCTTATTCAAGGAGGGTCCTGCATTGGGATGTCTGGCCAATTCCATCCAGCAGTCTATTCAAAGGGCCATCACTGTATATTGTGGTTACAGACGACTGGTTCTGTAATTATGATAATTCCACAGTCCTTTATCAATCCACTGTTGGTTCAATCCCTCCTCTACGCCGTGTGAAGTTGTTACGTGGCTTTTACAGTTCTAAAGTAAAACAAGTACAAAGTGTCTGCTTCATTTTCAGGTCGGCTCTGCCCCAGTAGCCGAAATTCCACATTCCTGCGACGGGAGACAGTACTGAAATTATTATTGTAGATGAAATTCATATATTATTGAAATTACTCTGCAGATTATTCTAGTTATATTGGCGGTAGCATAGTTGGCATGGGCCCCAGTGCAAGGAACGAAATGTGACCCTTCACGTCCAATGCTCCTACAGTGTACTGTTACTGTGAGTACGTATGAATTCATAGTTGTGTACGCAGGTATAATATGCTCTTCGTGTAATGTACGCGCACATTGATACAAATACGCAGAAATACAAAGTCCACAGAAAGCACGTGTTTGTGCAATTGTATATGTACAGTGAGGAAAAAGTAATTTTGATCCCCTGCTGATTTTGTACGTTTGCCCACTGACAAAGAAATGATCAGTCTATAATTTTAATGGTAGGTTTATTTGAGCAGTGAGAGACAGAATAACACAAAAAAAATCCAGAAAAAACGCATGTCAAAAATGCTATGAATTGATTTGCATTTTAATGAGGTAAATAAGTATTTGACCCTTCTGCAAAACATGACTTAGTACTTGGTGGCAAAACCCTTGTTGGGAATCAGAGAAGTCAGACGTTTCTTGTAGTTGGCCACCAGGTTTACACACATCTCAGGAGGGATTTTGTCCCACTCCTCTTTGCAGATCTTCTCCAAGTCATTGTTTCGAGGCTGACGTTTGGCAACTCGAACCTTCAGCTCCCTCCACAGATTTTCTATGGGATTAAGGTCTGGAGACTGGCTAGGCCACTCCAGGACCTTAATGTGCTTCTTCTTGAGCCACTCCTTTGTTGCCTTGGCCGTGTGTTTTGGGTCATTGTCATGCTGGAATACCCATCCACGACCCATTTTCAATGCCCTGGCTGAGGGAAGGAGGTTCTCACACAATATTTGACGGTACATGGCCCCGTCCATCGCCCCTTTGATGCGGTGAAGTTGTCCTGTCCCTTTAGCAGAAAAACACCCTCAAAGCATAATGTTTCCACCTCCATGTTTGACGGTTGGGATGGTGTTCTTGGGGTCATAGGCAGCATTCCTCCTCCTCCAAACACGGCGAGATGAGTTGATGCCAAAGAGCTCCATTTTGGTCTCATCTGACCACAACACTTTCACCCAGTTGTCCTCTGAATCATTCAGATGTTCACTGGCAAACTTCAGACAGGCATGTATATGTGCTTTCTTGAGCAGGGGGACCTTGCGGGCGCTGCAGGATTTCAATCCTTCACGGCGTAGTGTTACCAATTGTTTTCTTGGTGACTATGGTCCCAGCTGCCTTGAGATCATTGACTAGATCCTCCTGTGCAGTTCTGGGCTGATTCCTCACCGTTCTCATGATCATTGCAACTCCACGAGGTGAGGTCTTGCATGGAGCCCCAGGCCGAGGGAGATTGACAGTTCTTTTGTGTTTCTTCCATTTGCAAATAATCGCACCAACTGTTGTCACCTTCTCACCAAGCTGCTTGGCAATGGTCTTGTAACCCATTCCAGCCTTGTGTAGGTCTACAATCTTGTCCCTGACATCCTTGGAGAGCTCTTTGGTCTTGGTCATGGTGGAGAGTTTGGAATCTGATTGATTGCTTCTGTGGACAGGTGTCTTTTATACAGGTAACAATCTGAGATTAGGAGCAGTCCCTTTAAGAGTGTGCTCCTAATCTCAGCTCATTACCTGTATAAAAGACACCTGGGAGTCAGAAATCTTTCTGATTGAGAGGGGGTCAAATACTTATTTCCCTCATTAAAATGCAAATCAATTTATAACATTTTTGACATGCGTTTTTCCGGATTTTTTTTTGGTATTCTGTCTCTCACTGCTCAAATAAACCTACCATTAAAATTGTAGACTGATCATTTCTTTGTCAGTGGGCAAACGTACAAAATCAGCAGGGGATCAAATACTTTTTTCCCCTCACTGTATATGCATCGTTTCTGGGTATCCCCTCCTTCCATCAACCCGCACTAAACCAGAGTGGCAGAGGATTGACGAAGGTCTGTGAATGAAATAGGCTCGTTATAGTTCATCTTGGAGATGAGCGAGCCAAATTACACGCCACGATCGACAGCATAAACCCAACACGAGATAAGACTCGAGTCGACGTCGAAATCGAGTTGAAAAATCAACGAATCACGGCTAGACTGTGAAGACTGACATTGCCAGTACGTATTGTTTTTAAGTTTTACATCCCTTTATCAATCCACTGCTAGATGAAGGCCTCTCTATCTCTTGCTCTCTCTCTCTCTCCACGCTGTGTCGGTGACGGAGGGAGCTGCTATTTGACCATCCTTCAACCCCCGATGGTCAGTCAGTGCGGGGTTTGGCGAAGAGTGGCGCCGCAGGATCGACTCCGAAATTCAGCGCCACTGATGTCAGCCGTGGCCTTGGGAATCGAGCGTCGAAATGGGGGCCCTGCGCGGGTTCGTCGCACAGCTGCGCTCACCGCTGTACCACCGCTCGCTCCATCCTCGTACGTATCGATGATGTTTGTGCACAGTGACCATTACTTGTGCGAGGGTCTTCATAGGTGCTCGCCAACAGCACTTGAGCCAACAGTCTTGTTAAGAGGCTATACGGGGTGGGATCTTTGTACGTACGTCTGTGCCGTGTCCAGCTGTGTGTGGGTCTATCGTGTGTGAGCGTATCTGTCATAATGGAGACAAAGAACCCCCGTATAGCCTGTAACAGACTGTTGGGGCAAGTGCTGTTTGCGAGCACCTATCAAGACCCTGCACGGCACACGAGGGGGTTGGTGGCCAACACCACGCCCGGCCGCCTTTGTCTTCCCAGTTGGCGATGTTTTAAACACCGCACCAGGTACTCATTTGAGGCCGAGTCGACCTAGAGAGAGAATGGGAGCGGTGGCGCTGTGGTTAACGCACGAACGCCGTTGGCGAGTGCCACTTGAACCGGTGCCGTGTGTAAGACATCAACCTGTACTATTGGAGACAAAGACGGCCGCGCGTTGTCCTGGCCACACCAACCTCTCTAATAGGTACAGCACTTGCCCCAAAAAGTGAGTTGAGGCTATACGGGGGGGGGGGGGGTCTTTGTCTTTGCAAAATGCCACTTACGGTCACGCAATAGGCTCTGTTAACGAGCGCCTCACTCGGCTCACCCCCACGACGCAACACAACCTCGCCATCACCACCAACATCATCCTCGCCGAGACTCTCACGAACACAACCTCGCCATCACTACCAACATCATCCTCGCCGAGACTCTCACGAACACAACCTCGCCATCACCACCAACATCATCCTCGCCGAGACTCTCACGAACACAACCTCGCCATCACCACCAACATCATCCTCGCCGAGACTCTGACGAACACAACCTCGCCATCACCACAAACATCATCCTCGCCGAGACTCTCACGAACACAACCTCGCAACACCGCGTCGCCACCACGATCGGCAACTCGGTAGCATCCTTCATTGTAACAACAATGATCCCCCGTGTAGCCTGTAACAGACTGTCGGGGCACGTGCTGTTAGCGAGTAGCAGCACCTATGAAGGCCACTGGCACTGTGGCACACGAGGGGGTTGTGGGTGGCCAGCACCACGCCCGGCCGCCTTTGTCTCCCCCCAGTGGCGATGTCTACTACGCACCGCACCAGGTACTCATTTGAGGCTGAGTCCACCTAGGGGGGAGGCTCCGGGACCGGTTCAGACAATCGTCGCCCGTGCTGTTGGTGGCCGTGGGCGGGAATCCAACTCGGGTCACCGGGTTCGTAGCGCAGCGCGAACCGCGAATGCTTCCCACACACACAGCCTCGCTTTAACACAACAGCCTCGCTTTAACACAACAATCTCGCTTTAACACAACAGCCTCGCTTTAACACAACAGCCTCGCTTTAACACAACAGCCTCGCTTTAACACAACAATCTCGCTTTAACACAACAGCCTCGCTTTAACACAACAATCTCGCTTTAACACAACAATCTCGCTTTAACACAACAGCCTCGCTTTAACACAACAGCCTCGCTTTAACACAACAGCCTCGCTTTAACACAACAATCTCGCTTTAACACAACAATCTCGCCTTAACACAACAGCCTCGCTTTAACACAACAGCCTCGCTTTAACACAACAATCTCGCTTTAACACAACAATCTCGCTTTAACACAATCTCGATTTAACACAACAGCCTCGCTTTAACACAACAGCCTCGCTTTAACACAACAATCTCGCTTTAACACAATCTCGCTTTTACACAATCTCGCTTTAACACAGCAATTTCGCTTTAACACAATCTCGCTTTAACACAACAGCCTCGCTTTAACACAACAGCCTCGCTTTAACACAACAATCTCGCTTTAACACAACAGCCTCGCTTTAACACAACAGCCTCGCTTTAACACAACAGCCTCGCTTTAACACAACAATCTCGCTTTAACACAACAATCTCGCTTTAACACAACAATCTCGCTTCAACACAACAATCTCGCTTTAACACAACAATCTCGCTTTAACACAACAATCTCGCTTTAACACAATCTCGCTTTAACACAGCCTCGCTTTAACACAACAATCTCGCTTTAACACAACAGCCTCGCTTTAACACAATCTCGCTTTAACACAACAGCCTCGCTTTAACATAATCTCGCTTTAACACAACAGCCTCACTTTAACACAATCTCGCTTTAACACAACAGCCTCGCTTTAACACAACAGCCTCGCTTTAACACAACAATCTCGCTTTAACACAACAATCTCGCTTTAACACAACAGCCTCGCTTTAACACAATCTCGCTTTAACACAACAGCATCGCTTTAACACAATCTCGCTTTAACACAATCTCGCTTTAACACAACAGCCTCGCTTTAACACAACAATCTCGCTTTAACACAACAGCCTCGCTTTAACACAATCTCGCTTTAACACAACAGCCTCGCTTTAACACAATCTCGCTTTAACACAACAGCCTCGCTTTAACACAATCTCGCTTTAAAACAGCCTCGCTTTAACACAACAGCCTCGCTTTAACACAACCTCGCTCTAACACAGCCTCGCTTTAACACAGCCTCGCTCTAACACAACAACCTCGCTTTAACACAACAATCTCGCTTTAACACAGCCTCGCTTTAACACAACCTCGCTCTAACACAACCTCGCTCTAACACAACCTCGCTTTAACACAGCAATCTCGCTTTAACACAACCTCGCTTTAACACAGCCTCGCTTTAACACAACAACCTCGCTTTAACACAACCTCGCTTTAACACAACAGCCTCGCTTTAACACAGCCTCGCTCTAACACAACAATCTCGCTTTAACACAACAATCTCGCTTTA